CTAAGAGGTCTAAACAGGAATTCCAGCAGATCTTCAAACTAGAAATCAGTCTTGTCCACAACTCAAAAATCTCTGGGTCTTGGTTTTCTACCTTTCTAGCTGTGTGACCATGGGCAGGTGACCTAACTTCTCTGATTCTGCATCTGCCTCTGCAAGGCCACTGAGAGGTTGAAATGCAGTGGTGCTGGGGAGGTGCCTGACAAATTCCAGCTGTTGTTTCTACCATCATGGCTGTCATTGATTGAGAACCTAACACTCCCACCACAGTAAGGAAAACGAAGCTCTTGAAAGGCACAGCCACGAGGCCCCCCAAGTGCTCCCTGGACTCAGGGGCAGCCAAGAGGTCATTCCCCAGAGTCCTGGTCATGCTCTCTGTGGCCCCTGGGGTGGCTTCCCGATGTACCAGAAGCTGACACTTCTCCGGCCCCAAGGGCCATGGGCGTGCCCCACCCAAGGGGCATCCTCAGGACCCGCCCAGGCCCAGGCTAAAGCAGCAACAGTGGACGTTTGCAGGTGAGCAGAGGCGGCCCTGGCCCAGCCCCTGAAGCAGCTGGGCCCACGGGGACCTGGACCAGGCAAATTAAGGCAGAAATGTCAGGAAGCTGGCCACAGCGCCTTCCCCGGGGCAGCAGAGGGAAGAGATTCGAGAGCCAATGGTCCAGATCCCCTTTGTTCTGAGCGATGGGGATCCCTCGCACGCCAGGCGGCAGAGGATCTCCTGCATGAGGTCACAGGAAGCTCAGGAAGGACAGCGCCAGGAACAGACACCTTCCTCCTCTGTCTCCCCAGGCCTCACCTCAGCCCTGGCCTCCTCGACGCTCCTGCAATGAGGAGGTCACAGAGCTTCGTCTGGGGGCAGCGGGGACGTAGGGAGTCCTGAAATGTTCCCCAAGTGAGGAAGCTGCACGACGGACCAGACCCGGCTGTCAGACGCACTGTTGATGGGAAGGCCACCTCCTCCCACCCGCTCCGTGGTCTAGGCCTGGTCTGTCCCCCGCACGTCATGCCTCAGAAGCTTTGTCCCAGGTATAATGGTGGAGCAAGTGGAACCTTAGGAGGTGGGGCCTGTGGGGAGGAGGCCAGGACACTGGGCTCATGGCCCTCGGAAGGAAACTCAGGCGAGTTCTCTAAAGAGAGGGTCGTTATAAAAGGCAAGACTGAGCCGGGCGCAGTGGCTCACACCTATAATCCCAGGAGCTCGGGAGGCTGAGGCAGGAGGATCTCGAGTTCAAAGTCAGCCTCAGCAAAGGCAAGGTGCTAAGCAGCTCAGTGAGACCTTGTCCCTAAATAAAATATAAAATAGGGCTGGGGATGAGGCTCATTGGCCAAGTGCTCCTGGGTTCGATCTCTGGTACCAAAAAAATCAAAAAGCAAGCCTGGCCTCTCCCCCTCCTTGGCTTCCTGTCTCACCACGTGATCTCTTCTGCCTATGCTCCTGCCATTGATGCCATCCGCCATGAAGCCCTCACTGGAGCTGAGCAGAGGCCAGCAGTGTGCTCTTGAACGTCCAGGACTGAGTCCAATCAGCCGCTTTTCTTTACAGATTACCTAGCCTCAGGTGTCACCTTATAGCAATAGAAAATGGGCTCATTGCACCCCAAGGCCTGCAGGCCCAATTCCTCTGCTGTTTCTGGGGAGCCCTGACCAACCACCAAGAGCCCTCCTGACTCCACATCACCATGTACGTTTTTATAACAATATCTGGAACTCCTCTGGTGCAGGGAGCCTCCTGAGGGTTGAACTAAGTCTGCCTGCTCCCTGCTAGGTTCCAGGACCTGGCTCAAGGCCCAGGGCGTTTGAGAGACTTGATAAACACCACTGAATAATGGAGAGAACAGCCGGGCACAGCTGTCCTGTCCTCTAGTCTCAGGTGTCGGGAGGAGTTAGCCAGGTCCCCGGGAGTGATGAACGGGGGCTGTCGCTTTATGGAACCATCTCCCTCCGGCCCCTTCTACCCACTGTTCCAGTTTCCCTTCACAATGTTCTCTGACCCTCTGTGGGCAGTCTCCCCCATCCAGGGGACCTCAAACCCCCCAGTCGGCAGCCCAGCTAAAGAAAGTGAGGGAACAACAGGCATTAGGCACCTAGAGCCCCTGGAACTCAGCTGGTGCTTGTGTCTGTCACCTTCAGGACACAGCACACTTCCGGCCAGGTGGGATTGGAGGTGGGGGAATGTGTGTCCACTGGGAAGCTGGAGGGCAGCCCAGGCGCTGCCCCAGCCTCTGGGCACTTCCCACCTTAGATGGCCACGGCTGGCACAGTTTGGTCAAAACTGGGTCTCCCTGGCTTCTGCTTGCTTTCCCTGCCTCTCGCGGTGGGCCTGGGGCTGGGCTTTGCTCACAGGCTGGGCGCTGGGAGGGGAGGCTAGGGAGGCCAAGGGCAGCTTAAGGGCCTCAGCCTGCTGGGGCCCTAACTGGAGCAGTAACTGGTCAGTGGGCCAAACGGAGAGGGCCTGTGAGGGTGGTCTCCAGGGCAATGTGGGGGGGCGGCTCCTTCCTCCTCCCCAAGCCCTGGATGATGCCAGCCGCCGCTGGGGGTGTGTGGACCGCCTGCAGGCAAGAGCAGAGGCCTGGGCCAGGCGAAGGCACATGATGGGCGCGCAAAGACAGAGCTCGGGGTCCGCAGGCCCCGCCAGGCCGTCAGATGCACCCCTGCCCTGACTCTCTGAGAACGAGGCTTTGGCCTCTGCCCTGGGGCACCTGAGTGTCACCTGTGCTGTGGCAACGGGGGCCCTGCTGGCAGAAACCAAGCACCCACAAAGCAGGCTTCGGTTACAGAAAAAAAAAATCATCCAATAAAAAAGAAAACTGTTTAAGCTTAAAAACTAAAAAAGAAGCAGTTGGCGTCCGCTGTCAAAATGTTTTATAAAGCAACAGCAAAATGAAAAAAAATAAAAAATAAACTGTCCCCAAGAACTGAGAGAAGGCCAAAAAATATTAATACACAGGAACACAGCGAACCTCGTGCGGGCTGTAAATATTGCCTCCGTTCCCCACACGCAGTCGGCAGGGTGGCCGTCCCCCCAGGCTCTCCGCTCTTCCCACTTGAAATCTCTGCTGAAGGGCAATTTTGTCAAGAAAATTAAAAAGTATGAGGTGCAGAAATGGTTTTCCAGAGACCCATGAATTTCTTGTTTCACAGAGAGAAGGGGGTCCTCCACAGATGGGGAAACTAGGGCTCAGAGAGGGTAGGCAACTTGCCCACGGTCACTAGGAAGAGGTAGAGCAGAGAGCTGAGCCCACGTCACCTCCTCAAACCTGTCCACTTGACCACAGTAGTCTAGTTCTGGACGCACTCCCCTGTGCAGATATTTCTGAGGAGGGTGGACATCAGTGAACTCTCATGCATCCTTCAACACCCAGCCCACTCATCACTTCCTGTGCACTTTTCTGCTCACCCTGAATCACATACATACACCTGTCATCTCACATAGGGGGCTACACTCATCTTGCTAGACTGACTTCCAGAAGTCAGGGGATTGGCCTGTTCCATTTCCAGGAAACTCTCCCTGTTTCATTTCCAGGGTTCTTCAAACCCCCTGACATTGCCTCTTCCCCAGGACATTTGCACTGCCCCACAGACAACTTTTCCATCCCTTTTCAGAGCCCCTCCCTCACCAGATCTGTACTCAGATGTCCTCTCCTCAGAAAGGCCTCCCCTGACCACTCTTTCTAAGAGTGCCTCCACAGCCCTCCCCTGTCCCTGTCACTATGGCACCATACCCTGATTTGACCTTATCCAGAACATATGTCTCCCCCTGGCATGATGTCTCATGTGGGTGCCCACGTGCTGCATTATCCATCCACCTCAGTTTCTGAGGACAGTGGACATTGGCATGGCAACTCCTTGTCACTGCAGCTCCCTCCAGTGTCCCCAGAGCTCAGCTGGCATCAGACACGTGGGCTGCTGCACACGTAGCATGACCTTGGTGTCAGGCGCAGACAGACACTCAGCCAGCCCGGCGTCCATCCTCACTTAATTGTTGGAACAGAACTGGGCTAGGAGCTTCCCAAGGGGGAGCAGAATTCCCCCTCACCCGACAGGAGGGTCTCTTCCCAGCCACCCACTTAACTCTTCCCAGAACATCTACCTTGGAGAAAAGACAAGAATGCCCCGTCCACCTGAAGACCTGTCCACCCGCACAGCCGGCCCAGCTCATGGCCTCCCTAGCAGCTCGGCCACAAGACTGAGCAGTTAATGGATTGAGTTCGATTCAGACACTTCCAGTCCCCACCTGGCCCATCGCTAATCTGTCTGGGTGGGCAGTAGGGATGTCCCAACCTGGGACCTTGGCCAGGCATTTCAACACCAAGAAGAGCACCCACTGCTTAGTGTGGGCTCATCAGGAGAGGGCAACCCCAGCTGAGTGGCCTCCAAACCCTGTTGGTGAGCCAATCAACAAACATGACCAGCGCTGATGAGCACCGAGGAAGGCAGTGTAGGTGCTGGGTCTGGGGTGATAGCAACTGGGAATCGACTTCATTTTGGGATCATCTTAGAGCATATGGTGCATCCATACATTCTCCAAAAGACACTTGCAGTGATGTTCAGAGCAGGCCTTTCACAGAGTGCAAAGACCCACATGCTGTGTCCGAGAGCCCCAGAATGGAACACTATTCAGGGGTAGAAATGAACAGAGGGCTACTGGCCACAGGGCGGGTGGACACTGGGCAAAGTAACACTGGACAATCGAGGCCAGCACAGAGTAGGCCTCGGGATGACTCCACCTACAGGAAGGTCACATGGAGATCACATGGAGCTGCTCTGCAGGGTGGTGGACAAGGCCCTAGTGGGGACTGTAACTGCGACTCCCTTGCAGGAAGGGATTTAAACCAGGAGAGGTGTCAGGCCTAGAGGTGTCCCTCGGAGCAGCACGTGGGCAGCCTGGTGCACCCAGGGCTCCGACGCTAGCACAGAGGCTCTCAACAAGCGCCCAGCGCCCCACCCACTCTAGGTGCGCAACGCCTCTGCCTGCGTCCTGCGTTGCCTGGCAACCGGTCTCCCTAGCGACAGGAGACGCGAGCCCAGGTCCTGAGAGTGCACGCTCGTGCACGGAAACCCCGGGCTCATGGCTCAGAGACAGCTTGGCACCGCGGGCGCCGAGCGCATGAACCTGGTGGCCCAGGACGAGATCTGGTAAGGGCAGGGTCCTCTTCCCCGGGACGGGCTGTCCTCACCTGGCAGCTTCGGTTCCCACCAAGTCCAGAGATGGTGGACCTCTGGGCGCCAGGAGAGTGCTCAGAGGACAGTGGAGCACCCTGAGGAAAGGGGACAATATAGGGACAGAGAGCCACCACAGGGTTCCCCCCCAACTCCTGCCCGCCCGCCCTGAAGGTGGGAAAGATTTTGGAACAATCGCACAGGTCAGCCTGTTGGGGCCAGTTAGGAAGTGTGATTTTTAAGATTTACTGATTTTTTAAAAAAGAAACAAAACTGTTAATAATTGTTCAATTAGAAGGAGAATACGTAAGCACTTTATTTCTCAATTTTCCTGTAGTTTTAAGTAATAAGAAATTTTAATTTAAAAACTAGATCCATTTTTCCCTACGATGGATGCCAGCAGACCCTGCAGTGAGCCTCCCTTGGCATTCCGGAGGACTGCCACTGTTACTCCATCTCTTTCAAAGCAGTCCATAGGGGCAGCTGCTGATTTGAATGAAGGGAGTTTCAGGGTCAGCTCAAGCTTGCTCACCCCTCAACTTCAGCTGCCTATACCCCAGCTCTGTGTTGTCATCCTTTTCCTGAGACACCTGCATAAGTCACTCCATATTTGTGTTTAATTTGGCTGTTTCACTGAAAAAAAAAAATTATTGAAAACTTTATATCACTTTCACATGTGGAAAACCAGCATGGTGATCCCTATCACAACATTAATTTAAAAAAAAAAAATCTTTGTATTCATTCATGTATCCCCAGCAGGGACTAGCCCCGTGGCAGGGCCTGTCCCTCTGCCTGGAATGCCCTTTCCTTCCTTCACCAGGCAGACTCCTCCTACTCATCACTCAGTGCCCAAATCAGATGGCCCCTCCTCTGTGAACCGGGCCTTATTAAAAGCTTGGACTGTGCTGTCCAAGTCCAACACGGCTATTAATCACTTGGAATGTAACTGGTCCAAATTGGAATTAGCTGTAAGTGTAAAATACACAACAGATTTCAAAGATTCATGCAAAAACCGTATTATTTAAATTAACATCACTTGGTGATTGTTGCTTTCTTTTCGATATGGCTACATGAAAATTTACCAATTACATATGCAACTCATATTTTTGGCCCCTGTTAGATCTCTGTTAGAAACAGACTCTGCCTTAGATGCACAGGACCAAGAGCTTGGTCAGGGCCTCCAAAAACCTTGAGATGGGGGAGAGGTGCAGATATTGATTCCAAAACAGAAGGAACTAAAAATCGAAACAAGTAATGTTTAATTGGGTATCTGCAAAATGTGACACACCAGCTTGCCAACTGCACTCAGCTCAGCTCACAGGTAGTTATGTAGAAATCATATTCAACAAGCAGGAAAGCAGGCTGGGTTACCTAGTGAGTGAGGCCCCTGGGGTGTGATATTTAAGAAGGGGCTGGGCATCAAGTCAGGCAGGACAGAGCCCCTTCTTAAATCCTGCCCCCTCATGCCAGTCCTTGCCTGGAGGAACAGGGTACTTACAGAATTACTTAATGTATACCCATGACTGTGGGGCACCAGGGCCAGGGGCTATTCAGTCCCCTCTCATGGAGTGGCCCTGTCCTTGTCTGGCACTGCCAACTCCCCCATGCAGCAGCCCCAGGGACTCATTTCCTTCAGCCTGCTCAGCCCTGGGGCCTGGGCTCTCTGGCTCCCAGCTCCATCCCCAGCATAACCACCACCCATTCAGTGCGCAAAAAAAATGGGAAGTTTATGCTCTTCTGCAGTCTGTGGCTGGAACCTTTATCAAATATTGCCCAGCACCTAGGAACTCTCTTTTTCAGGAAATACCGTCTGAAGGCTGAATCCGAAGCACGGAAAAACTGGCCCCAGAACTGGGGATTTTTAACAACCCCTGTGGAGGAGGTAAGCATAAACCTTGACATCACAGAGTCCATCATTTTGGAGACTAAGTGGTTAGCAAGTGCAAGAATAGGATTAAAGAGTGTGTGGTAGGCAAAGATTATTAAGCTTGAAAGCAGACATCTCCTTGCCTTCACCAGTGACTGAGCGCCTACTATGTGCCAGGCACGTGCTGAGTACTTCAGCAGAACCAGCTTGTTTAATCTGCACCAGGGCCCTGTGCAGAAAGAGCTGCCACTTTATGTCCTCTGAACAGATCAGGAATTGGTCTCAAAGGACTGCAAAGTCCCACGACTAATAAGGGACATGCCAACAAGAGAAGCTGGTGGGTCTAGCTCCACAGCCGTCTGACCTCACCCTTCCTATCTGTGAAGTGGGTGATTGTGAGGGGCACTACAAGCCCAGCAAGTGACAAGCAGGAGAAGAGGCCAAACACCATTAATAGGAAGCGGTGGGGACGCTGGCAAAGAGGCAGCCACCGCCAGCCCAGCGAGGGCTGCCACGCAGGCCAGGCACACATCCGCTTATTCAAGACATTCCTTGTTCAAGTATCTGCGTCCAGGGCACGTGACTTACAAAAACACCATGTAGACACACAAAAGGCTCACATGGGCTTCCCTGGGCGCTGGCCAGCTTGCCACTTCTCAGAGGACCTCTGGCCCAAACCACGAAGCCACCCTTCTTGGGAGGGACACAGCACCCAAGAGCCACATCACTCAAACACTATGATTCAAGACAGTGGGAACCATCTACAGCACCCCCCACACTGGCTTTGAAATTATGCCACTCTTAATGAGTTTTTTTAGATTCTTAGAGTTATACAATTTGAAATTTTATGCATAAATGAGGCCTTATTATTATAATATGCATAAAATCAGTCTGTGTTAATAGTCCTTATATGTAATTAAATTGGGTTCTCAGAGTTCAAAATTGCTTTAACTATTCAGGGGGGCGGGGGCTCTCCTAGACGGTTTGGAAGGTTGGTCTCGAGACGTTGGCATTCTTTTCCTTTGAGTCCAGAGCCCGTGAGGGTTGCTCCAGTCACCGCACAGGACCTGAGCTAGCAGGCTTCGATCAGGAGGAGGGGAGCAGTCCTCGAGGTGGCGTGTGCGCCGTCCCCACACGCTGCTCGGGCTGTGTGACTGGGACTGGCTCCACCCAATATCCCGAGCCCACGTCTGTCATCTGTCAAGTGTGATTTCTGGGGGGGGGGGGGACGTGGGGAGCCTTAGCCTGAGGCCTCCATCTCTGGATTATCTTTCAGTTAATCAAGGGTGAAGAAGAATCCCGCACCCCAAAGCCCAAAATCCAGCTTCCGGAGCGTTTCCACATCCGGCAAATGACCCCTGTGGAGAAGTACATCAAGGTTTGCAAAGTCGTGCTAAAATTCTCAGTTTCCTAAGTGAGAAATGGCCCTGGCTGAAAGCCGTCTCACTCAACTGCCAAAGGCAAACAGAGCGGTGCCTGGCGTGCCAGCCACCTGGTGCCCACACCCTTTCCAGCCCAGATGTGGAACAGCAGGTGACACATCACACCTGCCAAAGCAGACACAGAGGCAGGCCAAGGACATGAGGGGTTCCGCCCAGAAAACAGGGCGGGGGGGCTCCAAAATGAGACCCCCGGTGCAAGTCCCGCGCCGTTGCTCCCCTCCTGTGTGGTCCTGGGCGCGTCTCTTGGCCTCTCTGTCTCCAGTTCCTCCTCAGCACCACTGTCATGGGCTCAGCTGAGCACCTGCCAGAGCTCAGGGTGGTGTGTGGGAAAGACCTGGCAGGACCCCGCACCTATAAGGCTGCTAAGTCAGCAGTGCCCAGGCACCAGGTGCACGGTGGTGAGCAAGAAGACGAGGGCCAGCCCACAGGCCTGGGTGGGAGCCGACATCAGACACGCAGCCAGCACTGGGGCACTGTGCAGGGAAACTCCAGGGGAAGTGACAGGGGAGAAGGGCTGGGTGGGGCTGGCTCCCTGTAGAGATGCCTGTTCAGCCAGGACTGGGGGATGGCAAGGGCCAAGCATTCCAGGAAGAGGAACAGCGCGTATCAAGGTCCTGAGGCTGAACAAAGCTTGGCCTGTTTCAGGGGCAGCAAAGGGTAGCCTGTGGCTGGAGACTCATGCAGTGGGTGGAGGGCAGGTGGAGACAGAGAGGCTGGACCTGGGAGGCAGTGGGTGGAGGGCAGGTGGAGACAGAGAGGCTGGACCTGGGAGGCAGTGGGTGGAGGGCAGGTGGAGACAGAGAGGCTGGACCTGGGAGGCAGTGGGTGGAGGGCAGGTGGGGTCATAGAGGCTGGACCTGGGAGGCAGTGGGTGGAGGGCAGGTGGGGACAGAGAGGCTGGACCTGGGAGGCAGTGGGTGGAGGGCAGGTGGGGACAGAGAGGCTGGACCTGGGAGGCAGTGGGAGCTGGGGAGTCTGGTCTGAATGGAAGCCTCGGGATATAGCCAGCAGGGCCATGGGATGGTCTGAAGCTTGCTCTGGTCACTAAGGAGAGAATGGATATAGGATGGTGAGCAGGAGTGACCTCACAGTCCCAGAGAAGAGAGGACATGATGGTGTCCCCCTGAGACCTTGCCAGTGAGGACCTGAGCCAGATGCCTCTAGAAATCATTAAGCTTTGCGTGTCCCCAGGCTTCCTCTCACAGGCCTGTCACTGTTCCTGGGCTCTGCCCTCTGTCACTGTGGAGGTATTCCGTGGCTGATGGGGAGAGGGGACAAAACCCATGACCAAGGGGCAGATGGGACCAGATGGAGGGACTCCCTTTTCCTGACATGTCCTTGGGGTCCGATGGGCACTGGCACGGGTGGACACTCGGGGGCATTCAGTGAGTGTGGACCTGTGCGGAGAAGGAAGAAGGGCGGAGGACGGGGAAGGGCAGAAAGGACACCACTGAGACGTGTGGAGGATTCTCCCCGATGACAAGGTAACAGAGTCACTGTTAGAAACTCTTTAGAAATATAAAAAAATATAAATAAGAAGATAACCAAAATCCCCATCCACACTGTCACCAGGAGCCGACATTGGGGATGCTCCTCCCAAGGCGTTCCCGTGCGCCATGTGCCTGTGAGACCCTCCTACCGCCAGCTCCTGCAGGTCCCAACTCTCAAACCCCCCCCCCGCCCCGCCCAGAAAAGAACTGTGGCCAGGGCTCCGTTCCCCTCTGCTGTCTCTCAGCCACAGCCGTCCCTGCCAATGCCTTGCCTGTACTTGGGCTGGGCTTCCCTCTGCCACTAATGTCCCAGTGCCTGCCCAGGGGTGGCACCTGCAACCAGCATCACCCCCTCTCAATGGACCGAGGGACACAGAACAAGAGCAGAATCCCCTCCTGGCCAGCCACAGGGAAGAGGAGGGCATGTGGCTCCTCCCGGGGAGCCTCCTGCCCCACAGCAAGCCAGAGGTCCCAGCCGCACACACCAGGCAGAGCTGGTGGGACTCAGTGCATGGGACAAGGACCCTGAGTCAAGTGGAAAGGAAGTGGCCTCTGCTTCACTCTGCACTTGCCCAGCAAAGGGACATGGCTTCCCTTTTCCACCTCCTGTCCCCTTTGGGTGACTAACTTTGCCCAGCAATTCACTGTTAAAGGTGACCTTAATACCCAAAGCCTGTGAGCAGCTCTGGGCGCCACTGTCACCAGTGCTGTGTCCCCACCTGGGTAGACTGCAGAGACAGGCGTGGGCAGCCTCCAGCCCTGCCACCCTGTCACCCAGTGTCCTCTTACACTGAACACCCTTTTCTGCTCCCGTGTCTCTTAGAAGCCTGTCCTGGGGTTGCTGCGCCTCGGAGCACGCAGTCAAAGGTGCACTGAACACACCCCTTTGGGGGCACGGAGTTATGGCCATGGCTGCTACACCTCGCCCTGAGGCTGGCATGGGGTGTGCAGACATGGGGATGTCGGGACACGTGCTGAGCGACCGCAGTTCCACTTTTAGTGATAACTGCAATCCTGCTCTTAATCCTGCAGTGCCCTAGTTAGCCACAGTGTCGGTGTCTCTGCCGTCTAGGGGGTGAAGTAGGACATCGTGGGCTGCTGTTCCCTCCGTCCCTTCTTTGCTCTGGAGAGAGACTGAAGCCCTGGTCTGCTCCCAGGGCCGGGCCGGGTGGGCAGCACTGACTTGTCTTCCCTACTGAATGGGAGCATCCACAACTGGCTCGGGGACACTCAGGCCCTCTGGGGGGCGACCCTCCCTACCTGTGGCCCTCAGCAGATTAATTTCCCTACTTCTTCTAGAACATGTGTGAAGGGGCTTCCTCCACAAGTGGTGGCCACCTGGGATGTCACCTCCCCCTTGGTCTGGCTGGAGAATCCCGTTAGAGTGAGCTCAGCCCCGGGCCTGGTGAAGCTCTTCTGCGAGGACAAACGTTCCTCCTCGCCGCTTTTGTGCAAATACGTATGAAAGCAGAAGGAATTATTTTAAAAGGAGGGAACCTGCCTAAACACGTACCCGCACTTTCCAAAAGTTCCAAGTGTTCCCGAGGAATGGATGAAGGAAGCTGTGCTTTCTCATTTCAGATAGAAGCCTGTTTCCTTTTGATTTTTAAATTAATTTCAGTTGCTTTTCATTCCCACAGTTTGGGCAGGAAGATGTATCCATATTGCCAGAATGCCACCTGACAATATATTGTCCTATATTTTATAAAGGACAGTGAGGACTGTAATATTTGATACTTCTGAGCCTTAACTTTTTTTGACTCTTTCACTAAACAAAGGTTATTTTACTGGATGTCATGAATTGCATAAATTAAGTATTCGAAGCATTACATGGTGAACAAACGGGTTCAGTGTTCTTTACCTTCAGGAAAGAGGTGAGCCGCGGCTGGGACCAGGGATGTGCTCACGCTCAGTATGTGTTAGGGACATGGCTTTTGTGTCTGTCTTTTCCATGCCCAGCCTCATGGATGCTGTTACTGGGGACCTTGGCAGACACTGCCCACACGGCTGTGGTCCCAGGTGAGTAATCTGTATTTCCACTCCAGGTCCTTCCGTCCCCCCCAGTCCCACAGACGTCCCAGGGCTTCATCGGCTGGAGGTCGGCAGTGCCAGGCCTGAACAAGAGCCTGCAACTTGACTTTGAGATCAGAAGCTGCAAAGGGGTCTACGCCCGAGAGCTGGGCTGGCCTAAGCAAGGCATCTACTGAGCCCTGCAGCCCCTGCCCACCGAGGCAGTGAACAGGGACCAGCTGGCACCTGGGGCCTGCCCAGGTGAGGAACCCCTACGTCCTGAGCATGGAGCGCCCTCGTCTTGCTCCTCAGACATGCAGAGAACACAGAGGCTGCCTTAGATACTCTGGGTTCACTGGTCCCTATTCTAGAACCTTCATGCAGCACCCCTGTTCTTGGCTAATGTAACAAATACGGCAAAATAAATTCCCTGACTTTCTTTTTAGTTGGTATGTTTGTTGAAACTTTGGGAATTTCTAAGTATGTTTTATTAAAAATACAGTGATTTAATTCTAAGGACATTTGTCTAGGCCCTTTAACGTAGCTTCCAACTGCCCCTACCACGATCCCCATTGACGATGGGATTGCTGACCGGGGCTTCTGTGGCCAGATCCCAGGCTTGCTTCTCAGGAGTAATACAACACCTCGAGGACCCCGACTCCCCTGGATGAGGGTATCTGGAATAAGACAAGAGCTTCAAGGGTGGAAAGAAGCACAAGATTCACCACTGAGCCAAGTCCAGAAGACGGGCTGCCCAAGGTGCTAGGGCAACCACTCCACCAACCCACCCCGCCTCCCGGTCGCCATATGAGCCCAAGCTGGCCAACCGGCCCCTTCCAACACAGACATCAGCCCCTCTGTCAGCACCTCATTTCCATCCCTGCCCAGAGCATGGGGGTCAGGGCACCCAGGTAGCCAAAGAGGAACAGCCAGCATGTCCTCAGAACTCTTGAACTGGCCCCAAAAAGTGGGAGCAGGGGAGAATGTGGAAGAGCAGCCTGTGAAAGCTGCTCAGGTCCATTTCTGGGGAGCAGTGGGCTGGCGCCCTCTCAGGGCTGGCTGGGCAGGGCAGGGGGAGCCACACCCGGTCACCTGCCCTCCACTGAGACTCTTTTCCTCCCAGTGGCCGGCCAGGCCTTGCAGTCAGCAGGAGGACCTTCTCTCTGCATTGGCTGATGGGCTGAGGATGCGTCCACCTGGGGGAACCCACTTAAAAGGGCGTCCACCACACACCAGCCTGCCTCACTACACAGGTATGGTGGGTGTGCTGTGGCCAGTGCAAGAATCCGCCCTCCTAGGATCATCGAGGACCTCCCCAGCCCTGAGCACTGGCCTCGACCCCTCTGACACACTCCTGAAGGAACTCCGTAACCAAATGCCGGGGGCCAGAACCCCTTTTGAACCTGAGCCATCTCCACACACTGTGGGCTCAGAGCCTCCCAACCACGAAGCCCCAGCAGATGAACTACAGAGACACTGCTCCCAGTGGAGCCCCCAGAGCCTGACTGAGCCCCAAGGTTTCCGTTACCATTTAGATGAGGTACCCCCCCCAAAAAAGCTCATGTGTCAGACAATGCAAGAAAGCTTAGAGGTAAAATGACTGGGTTGTGAGAGGCTTTGCCTAATCAGTGGGTTAGTCCACTTGAAGGGATTAACTGGTGGTCACTGTGGGCAGGTAGGCTGTGGCTGGAGGAGGTGGGACCTGCCGAGGGGTTTATGTTTTGTCCCTGGTGAGCAGAGCTCTGTATGCTTCCTGTTGCCATGTCCTGAGCTGATTTCCTCCACCTCACCCTCACGCCATGACATTCTGTCTCACCTTGGGCCCAGAGCAATGGACTTGGCCGTCTATGGACTCAAACCTCCAAAACCGTAAACCCCAAACAAACTTTCCTCCCTCTATGTTGTTCTTGTCAGGTCTTTTGGTCACAGCAAGGTAAAAGCTGACACATTCTTAGCTCTCACCCCTTCAGAGCCAGCTTCTTAGAGCTGAGGACAGAACCACAAAGCCTTCTCCCCAGCCTCCTGGGAGGCTCTCTGCCTCCCCACACCCCCTCTCCCAGGCCCAGAAAAGCTGGTGCCTGAGAGCACAGCCCTTTGAGAGTCCCGTCATCACCTCTAAGTGTGGGGCCCAGGCTCACTGCCTGCTGCATGGGCTGGCCACCCAAAAATATCATGGCTCTTTAGGTCTCAGAAAAGGGGAAACAAGGTAATACAGGTTGAACTGTGTCCCCCAAAAAGATGTTGAAGTCCTGAACTCCAGACCCTGTGAATGTGACCTTATCTAGAAATATGGCCACTGCAGATGTGACTAGTTAAATCAAGATGAGGTCATCCTGGGCTCTGGAGGTCCTTCTGAGACATACTGTATACAGTATGACAGAAATCTACAAGACGCCATCGGCCTCTCGGCCTTGACATTGGGCCTGGGCAGGGAGCACATGGGCACACTTTGCCTCCTCCTCCTCCCCCTACCTGGCCATTTTTCCTGGACAGCTGCGTGAGACCAGATGACATGGCCCACTCAACCCCAGGGTTGTTCCTGGTCCCCCAGGTATTTGAGCCGACACAAGCTAAACGAGCAGTTGCTCAGTCAAGTCCCCATGCTCAACCTAATGTTGACACCTCGGTCATCCGTCACCTCCACAGACAAGGCACCTGCCCTTGAAGAGACATGTGCCCCTTCTTGGGATCAGATGTCCCCTCCAAAGCCGAGCAGCATGGCTGACCTCCATCTGGGCCTGAGGAGGCAGGCACCCATGGTCACCCTGCATGAGGGGCCTGTGGAGGGGAGGGACCACCAATAGCCAGTGTGTTAGTTAGTTCTAACTCCTAACCACAAAGCACATCTGGGACTGGCCTTCATGCTGTCTGCAGGCCTCCAACAGCTGGCTCCTGGATCCACCCTGCCCCACACCTGGTCAGGGGCAGGTCTACTTGGACTCTGCTGAACTAGGCAGAGTAACCCTGCTTCTGACCCTAACTGACAGGTTAGAGCCCTGAGTTCTAGGGAGAGAGGCCATCACTGCAAGGACACAGGACCTTCAGAGAGACCAGACAGACATCCCAGTGGTGGAGGTCCTCAGGCAGACGCCCCTCCTGTCTCCCATGCCCCAGCAGAGAACGTGTGGGTGGGCCCACTCACAGCCACCTGACTTTCAGGGCCTCCTGTGAACACAGCCTCAAGAGACTGAAGACCCCCCTGCATCTGAACAGTCAGTGCACACATACAACTAAGCACCCAGGAAGTTCTCTGAGGCTCTTCTTGCTGCCCTTGACCGTGAATGGTGCTCACTCCAACTCCATGGCTCAAGGTCTCGTAAACCCTTCTACCTGCACAATCATGGATTCTTTTTCACCATTTCACTCCTGTCAATACACAGACCAACAGCCGCCAACATCTGGGAAACCTGGTTGGTGGGGTTTTTATTTTCATTTAATCACCAACCAACCACATATGTGCTTTTATTTAAAGAAATAAAATGAGGCCACTTTTTTGCAGGGAGCAGATTTCACTGCCATCCCTCATCCTGCCCAGGCTCCCCTCCCCCTGGGCTCCCAGGCTGACCTCACTGCATTAAGCAATTTGCCCTGTACTCCTGGGCTCCTAATGGCACCCAAACAACCAGTCAATGGCCCAGCTGAGAATCGAGTGGACAACGCTCAAGGATTCAATTACCCCGGACGCTTTCTAACTTGACATTTAATCTATGGAAATCAACCTCTTTGTGGATGTCCAAATGGGCCCATAAATGTCACCACACACCATAAAATACCACAGCATTTCCAAGGTCAAGACACGGCTGGTGAACCTGTGTACACGATCCCAACATTCATCACAGTCGCGAACCGCCAGGCAGGCCTCCATCTAAATGAACCGTCTCCGAAATGATGCAAAACGACTGGGTCCCGGACTCAGAGAGGATTCTGCCACAAGTACACTTCAGTCCAAGACGAATTAGGAACGCCTTTGTTCAAGTTAGAAGAAATGACTTGATGGAAGAAAAAATTGAGAAACAAGACTCTTGATCTAACCCTCTGAAACAGAGCCCAGGACAAATGTCCCCATGGCCAGTCCCCAAGGACTCCAGGCTTCAAGTGGCCAACGCCTGGGACCAGACTGGGAATTTAGAGCTCCGTGCATTTTAGAGCGAGCAGGCACTGTGTGTTACATAACCCCTCCAGCAAGCCTAGGCAGCCCCACAAAATTAAACCCATTAATTTTTTTTAGAACAGAACTTATGAGTATCCACACTAACTGGAATAAAGACTGTAAGGAGCCACAGATCAGTTTGATTCATGTTTGTCACCCAATGAGCGTTAGCGTTAAACTAAAGATGATCCCAGGGTTTGGGGTACATTTTGGAGTTTGGAACTGATAAAGAGATTTTGAAAATAATATGTCACTATCACAGAAAATACTGTAAGGATGACTCTTTGGGATCTGCCCAGAGCCATGAACTTACAGAAGGACTCTCTTGGTTGGAAAAGAAAAAGTAAGCCAACCCCAGCGCAAAAGGGACATGTTGATTTATGTAACTGGGGAGCTCAACAATGAGTGAGGCTCCAGGACCAGCTCCTACAGGGACCCCAACAGCAGCGGCAGGACCAGGATCTTTCTGCTTCGATTTCTTCAGGTTGATCTATGTGACTGCTTTCAATGACAAGTAACACGCTCACGGTTAACAGGAAGGAGATGTCTTCCTAAGCGAGGTCCGGAGGTGGGCCGAGCGCCAGGGCTAGTCCTTCCTTAGCTGTCTCTGTGTCAGTTTCTCCCAAGACTAATTTCCTCATGGCTGCAGATGGGTGCCACCAGCCCCAAGGGCCACATGCTTTCTTGCTGCTTTTGGGAGTAGGAAAAGGAAGTGTCTTCCACACACATCTGGCAAAGCTGCTTGCCCCAGCCTCCCCCTTCCTGCCTCTAACAGCGCCTCCTTCCTCTGCCCCACCCTCCTCCTCCTGTGCTCCCCTCCTTCCCATCCCAACTCCTCTTCCCCTGCCCCTCCCCTCCTGCCCTGGCCCCTCACCCCTCACTCCTCCTCCCCTTCTTCCTCCTGGTCTTCCCCACCTGCTGGCCCTCTAGCTCACTCTTTCTGGTGAAACCACTCACCAGGTTGAGTGCTCCAGGGGCATTAGTGAGGTTCACTGGTCTAAGAGGACCTGAGGCTCAGTCCAACAGCCCACCGGTAACAGCATCCTGCCAACAACCGTGAAGGAGGCAGGAAGCTGACCCTTCCAGGCAAATCTTGACATCCCCCTGCCTGGGAAAGACCTTGACCCAGGGGACCCCACTCAACCACACCTGGACTCCTGCACCACAGAAGCTGGGTGATAAGTGGTGTCACTTTAAGCAACTAAGTTGTGGGGCAATTTATTATGCTTCTATATGTAACAAGTACCAGCTGGTTCCAGACATCAACCCCCTACCACTGTGATTTTCAGGAGAGC